GCTTGTAGGAAATTGCGCACTTACCTTCTGAACAAATCAATTTGTTTCGTTTTCTGTGCGCATTCGACTTTGCTCTGTGTGAAATTCTGTTTTTCTTTGCATGTTACAAGATTCGGTCTGATTCAGTGACGCTAACTCGGCATGGTTCCTCGCCAGCGTGATTTTCCGCAGAGTAGGCTGTTCGAGACCTAACACTTATCTGCCGTTCGTCTTACTCGCGTCAACTCTTCTTGGCATCAACTAGTCCTTGTTGGCTATATGTACCGTGGAAGGAGCCACTCCTTTACTCTCCAGCCTTTATTTTCCCCGAACGTCTGTTTCTTAAACTTCGCTTGCCTGTTGATTTATTCATTGAAACTGCAAGTATACCGTAGTGGTCAAATGTCTTAATGATATGGCTAAACCGGCCAGTGATACTACCTTTCCTAGAGCCACTATCTCTGCTTAGCAGCAGCTATTCGCCATAAACTCCAAGTCTGCGGATATCCGGAGCTCGCTAGGCGTCACTCCTTCCCTACAACTTTTATTAGATTGGATTGTTTGCATCACAGCTCAGCTGGTTTGTTGACCTATTCTGTGCCGCCGTAGGTTCCAATAGTAACCGAAAGCCTAATCCGAATGCCATTGGCGGCCGCTGACCTCTCTCCTAGCGCGCTTATCTGCCGTTCGTCTTACTCGCGTCAACTCTTCTTGGCAGCAGCTAGTCGTCGTTGGCTCCATGCATCCCTGTGCATATCTGTAGCCTGGAAGGAGCCACTCCTTTACTCTCCAGCCTTCATTTTCCTCGAACGTCTGTCTCTCTAATCTTCGCTCGCTTGTTGATTTATTCATTGAGACTGTAGGTATACAGTAGTGATCAAACGTCTTAATGATATGGCTGCAGCAGCCACATGCAGGTGGCAGTTTGGCGGTTTGATCATCCCATATGTTCGTAATTGTTCTACACTTACGCGAGACCATAAGTAAGTGGGTGTGAGACCACTGGAAGAAGCATAACCTTGTCGCCTTTAGGGCTGCACAATGATTTGGACTATCTTGGTTAAGCGCTTCTCCTCCTCCGTTGCCAGTTTAGAAAAGACGCTAAAAGTTCTCACTGGACAAAGTTGGTGTCTTCGATGGGATCCTCAAATGTTTTATCAGGTCTTGTATGACCCTATCCAACCATCTCGAAATTATTGAAACCCAGCCCACACATCAAACAGAGAGGCCGCTATCTGAATTTTATTAAACCCAATACACCCAGTTGACATTTTCCCGTAACCTTCTCTCCATTCCCGGATCCTAGCCGTGGAATGTTCTTCCGTGTCCTATCATGTATGCTCCCACGCTACCAAAATTTAAAACTCACTGTGATGTGGCGGCATATCGCCTGCATGCCATGATTATGTCGTGTCTCCTTAATTTGATTTGTTCTTGTTACGGATTCGTTTGCACTACCCACGCAGCACACTTAACAGTCAATGGATCAGCCAAGTAGTTTGCATCTTGTTGGTGGCATCTATATACGCCTACCTATGATATTCTAACTCGTGCAAGTGCAACAGGCCCATAAATACGTTTATTGCTACTCTGGTCTTCTGCGTTTACAGAACACGACAGCTTGGAAGTCAGGTTATTTTGCCAGGGCGCAGGGTAAGCAAACTGTATGCACACCTGAAACATTTGATGCGTTCACCGACAAGTGTTACCTTTTTCTTGTTAATATACTTATTCCTTTCGATCCTTTCCTGAAAAATTTGTTAAACATTCCCCTTTTTACCCGTGATAATCCATAACTCCACTGTTTATAACGTTGTATCAAATAACGGGAGAGCACAGTCACGGATCCCGCTAGCTGAAATGCAACGCGGACACAAATCCTCAAGTGAAGTCAAGTCAGGCGGGTGTTTGTACACGCAGAACGGGTGATACAGCGTGAAAGTAAAAGCAAGCGGATTAATAATTGTAAAAGTATTATACCATCACTGCAAATACTGGTATGTTATTTCTTGGGCAACTCTGATTTTATCCTGCAAAAGGTGCGCTAAATAGGGGACACTTGACGAACGGTATGCCCGCGTACGCACAAATATGAATTTGTACAACTGTCTGGTTGACGAGGTCGGCACAAATTCAGACAGTACACAATGTATGGGATGAATTGTGTCCGCAAGTTTTTTGTGATTGCTATTCTCCTGCAAGAATCAACGTTTGTGGATACAGATATTCCAACAAACGTCAAACTCGATGTACTGCTACATCTCGACAAGTGTTCCAACGACCTTTCCATTAATCTAAAGTTCATGCCCAATATAGGAGGAAAATTTACTGGTAAGTAGTACATCTTGTGCAGAGAAACACAAGCCGTGACAGAGCGAAGTATTAAATCATGTGGGGCAGAGGAAGCTCGTAGGCGTGACGCGTAGAACGATAACATCTGGCCTTTTTCGAACGTTTTCATATAATGTGACCAAGATAAATCCTAGCTTAGCATAACACCCAGATACTTTACCGATGTGGAAGAGTGCCAATTCTCGCCATCGATGTTGAGTTCCGATCTTTACTGTGCACTTTAAGAAAATTAGAGCATTTCATTTTGACACGTACGGCAGTTCTCGGGCTTCTGACCAAAAGGTATGATCCTTAAGAATATCTTGCAACCTGACTGAAGAGGCAGTGTTGGTTTAATTGACATCCAGAGCAATATCATCTGCGTATGTACACATGGTTGCTTCTCCTAGGAATGGCATTCAGCTAACACGAAGAACACCGGTGTTGGTGATTAAGAGCGAGAAGTTTTTGCTTCCAAAAGGAGTAACCTGAGTGCAACCGGAAAAAATAATCCTTAAAGATATAGACAATGGAAGGACGCAATGCAACACTCAGCAGATCTTTAAGCCGTAACCTGCGGTTTACGCAGCTGCAAACTTTGCTGTAGTCCAAAAAACATCTTCAGGTGAACTTGCTTATATTGTCGAAGAATGACAGAACCGATGGCACAAGGCAGGCCACTGCGATTTGAGCTGAACTTTATCTGCTCAAAGCAGTCAGAGGCAGTTGCGCAGAGAGCTAACAAGCAGGTCCGCTTGCTGCGGAGCTTAGTCGAAACTTTCGTCCCATCCATCTTTCCCATGATGCACAACCCTTATGGGCGTCCTCAAGCTTAATAAGCCATCCAACTTGGCAAGCTTGGTTAAAGCACGACTTAGATATGTTAGAGAAACCAGAACGCAGGGTCACAAAGAATGTCACGGACCTACGAAATCTGTCCTACCATCAAAGGCTGGAGTCATTGGGACTTTTCAGCGGCCGCTATCGAAGGCTGCGCGGTGATCTCATATTAGTCTACCAAATATTGAGTGACCCTAATCACGTATGCCGTCACTTGCTGAAACTCAACCATAACACCAATCATAGATTGTCGCAGAAGTCATGGTTCAGTTTCTCAACACACGAGATCCAGTAACCTTAAGACTTGGTGTGAAGTGTGGTGCTTTCGAGGCGGGTAACACGGAATATGCACCTGCTTCATTTACAGTCACAATGATGAAATTGCCCAAAGTTCCATTCAATGTGAATAGCCGTCCACCCTGATTAAGCGTCGCAGTCCGTTCACATAAGCAGGTGTTGAAAACCAGGCCTCTAAGCATTAGATCGCTGTTACGACAAGCGTCATCAGTCGTGGTTCCGTAGCTTAGGACAACAGGCTTAGGATAACACCCCTAATATCCCGGATTCAATGCCTGCTGTCTCTCTCTAGTAAAAGAGAACAACTTCGGCGTTAGTGGTGGTTTGCAGTTTTTTGAGCTCATTACAACCGAATATTCAAAGTGTTGCTGAATGTCATCTGATTGTCGAAATCAACTCAAAATGCGCCTTGGTGCGCTGAAAATGCTACGGCTTGTCAATACAAATATCCCTGCAACGGTTCTTGAAGATTGCTTCGAACACCGGACAACAATGACTTGGTGGTAGATTGGTATCATAGAGCCACTTGCGGCTGAATCGACGAGTGAAAATTACTAAATATTTTTGCTGAAGCACCACCTTCTGGGGGAGACCTACACAAAGCGTAACCATTGGGCTCTAGTACAGAATGATCTTAGCAGCTTTCGGTTACTGCGTCCTATGCAACTGGCCACGTATACTGAACCCATGCTTGCGGGCTTATGTTGAAGTTCGCTTCCTATGCTTGAAAGACCTGGGAGAGACATAAGTACGGCACAATCAAACTTCCGCAACGAAACACAATCAAGCATGAAATTTGATGGTTTCTCCTTCTATATCAATATTGGTTGAAGACCCTAAGGTTGTTACTTGATCATTATCTCCACCTATGTGGTAACCTACCAGATCCTGAGGAAACCCAACCAAGTTTGCGTCATCTTCAGCGATTTGGTTATAATGCGAAACTGATAGGTAACCAGACGAATGTGCGAGGTTTTATACCGAACAATAATATCACCGGAACTTTTGCTTTCTTCATATGTGCCAGGAATGTTACATCTTCCCGAATTAGTATTTTTCTGCCATTCGAAGAACTTATGGAATGATAAAGGTTGATCGCATCGGCGTTGCTCACACAGTCGAAGGGGCTAATTATACACTATTTCATATGAAATCAATGAGGAGCTTGTCAAACGCTGATCGAATTTCGCCAGGTTTACTTTTTCAAGTGTTCCGTTCTCTCCTTGGGTAGTGCAGGGGTATTGTTAAAACCATAGGTTTCAGGTCCCAATGCATCGGTTGCATAGTATTAATTTGGTTGCAATTGAAAACGCTTGCAGCACGGGGCGTGGTAGAAGAGTTAGATTTTGCAGTAGACCGGGTGTTTTGATTTCAAGGATCTAGTTTTCAGGTTAGTAAATATCCTTGGCGAAACCTCCAACTTATTATAATATTGAGCTTGTGGAAAAATTTCATTTGTGTCTATTTGATTATCCGTTTCCCAAAAAGGTACACAAAGCTCATAAAAACACTTTGCGACACCCTGATGAACAGGAATGGAGAATAAGGTGTATTTATACTAGTTTCATTCTATTAACTATTGTACATCTCAGCTTTCACAGAAATCTTCGCGTCATTATGATACGCGCAGAATCTTCCTTAATAAAGCAAACAGACGATGGTCCCTCAAAATTGCTCCATGGTCGACGCCTGGAAGTTGCACATAACGCACATTTGTCCACTTCTTACATACAGTGAGACTGCGTAGATCAACAGTTCCATCTCCATCGCCGTACACGAATCGAGGCCACTGATCAGGAAAGGATTTCATTCCAGAAGAGGCCGTTTTGTAGACAGCTTTCTGCACTGTCGGAACTCCCGTTCCATGAAAACAGTAAACATTATCCACGCCAGCAGGCTCATTGAGGTAATCGAAAGCATTTTTGGCAGTCAGGAATATGTCATAACCTGAAAAATCCAAATACAAGCAAATGGTTAAGTTTCACTACACATTGAAGCGTCGTGTTGCTGCCCTTCAATTCAGGCGTTACATTTATCCTGACTGTGAGCGGACTGCGATAGATGTAGCTATACAACCCACAGATCAGTAGACACCGCGGACTCTAACCAATCAGACCAAGAGGTATATGGGTGAAATTCGCAACTATAGACCCCAGGCACATCTTCAACCCACACTCTTCGACGAGTTACACGCTGAGGCGGGATCTCTTCAATCAATCAGGATTATTATTTCAAAACATTCTGTACTTCTCTTTTCTTTTGTTTGCATGGACTAGATCGATATACTGAGGTGACGAAGTGAAGCTCTCGAATGAATTAATACGCCCACATGAGGCGAATTGCTCCAAACTTGGCGAGGAAAAATTTTGTGTCTGAATCCAAAGAGTCGAAACTTAAAGCTAGCTGAGTGGCTTATAAATAGTGCTGATGAAAACTTTCGTGGAACCACCAGGCATGCAAGCAAACTCCAAGAAGAAGTTTCAATGATAGCCGTATTAATGCACTTCAAGATTTTTCAATAGCCACTTTCCTCCTGCTTTCAAGTACTCTGTATTTCTAATGAGTTATCAATCGAACTCCACATGAGCATATTGGGACAGATTTGGGCAATTTGTAAAAAAATATAACCGAGGATTTTTCGGACATTTTTCAGTACACATTGTGTGCATGGAGTGCGACAAGCAAACTCAATGCTGACCGCGATTCCCATTGAATTGGACATGAGCCATTCGATCACGATAACCATAGCTAAAGCACATAGAATATGGGTGATGCCTGTTCGAAAATAGTGCATACCATTACGCTTTTCCAGCGTGTTTGCTCTCATCCTATAATTCTGGGTTCAATACTTGCTATCTGCATCTGAGGAGAGAAAACAGCAGCTTCGTTCACTTGAATTTCGTTTTAAATAACCAGTTTCCTACTGCTCTCAACTTCTCGACTAAATAGGATCCGCTTTGGATAATTTGAAAACAAATATCTGCAGTTTGATATATTGCATCTACAAATGAGCAGACCACCTATTTGGGCTGTATCATGCACAGATGAGCTATATGCTATTCGTAACCTACAAGTAAGCACCCTGACTATAAATAAACTAATGGTATATTTCGTTACTTAACGAGAAGCTGATCTCAAAGACGATCTTTCCAAAACATTACAAATGCTTCACGCCCTAGCATAATACGAAATAAATGTCACAGAACCTCCGTAAGTTGACCACGGAAACAACTGGACCGAGGGGGTCAACATGGAGAAGTCTCTATCTAATACTTTTACATAATAAATATGCGAGTAATGGAAAGTAAAGCAGCCAAATTGGTGTGGGTGGACAGGAGATAGAGGTAGTCAACTTCGGATGATTTCCTACATACTCACGTACGGAGGTTAAGAGGTAGGGGTAGGTGTGTCAAATACATGAACGTGCCTACGTATATCTGAATTTTTCCATGTAGAGTTGCACGCATTGCTTGGTGGATTGTTGACATATCCATCCCAAATTTTGATAACTGCTACACGGTTACTTATGCAATGACCGGAGAACAATCGTCTTCTTTAGGTCGTGCAACTGCCTGGAATATCTCAAAGTTCTTTTCAGCTGCTTTCTGTAAATAGGAGGAGTTTGGCATAGGTATCCTCAGCCAGACAGCCCTAGTACATCCTGAGATTGACTGCATGAATCTTTCTGCCATATAGGGCCAGGTGATAGGACGGACCCACTCATCCTCTAATATCATCGCTTGCATACCTAAGGTGCAAATGTTTTTAGCTGCAGATTGCGACACAATGGATTAGGTTTCTAGGTCTCAGAGTCGTATCAAGGAGGACGGTAAGCCCCGAGCGGTACGTGACAGTGGCAGCATTTTGGCACCGTTGATTGTGGGATACCAAATATAAAGGACACATCTTCCAGATAAGCTGAGGCTTGAATATTTAAATGATACTCTGCCTGACGGACAATACCTCCACATCGTTCCTCACATCTGTGCAAACGTTCTGTACCATGGTCTCTTATTTATCGCGTTGTGGATAAGTTCACAACCTTTACTTCAGTGACCCAAACGACTATTATGGGGTTTATGGTGACATTCATGTGTGTATTCTGCCCGCAATCAGGGCGAGCATGTAACCAACTTCCCGGGAGGAAAATTACTTGCCACTACACTGCTGGGACTGCTTTGGTTGGATAAGCTTATATTTGATAGAATAGAAGCCTTTGCCACCTTCGTTCTGAGAACACATGCACTGGTGAATTGCCTGAGCATGGCTATTCCATGGTTGGTTATCCTAAGGTCGATATTAGCATTAAAGCCACAGGCAGTTTTGTTGGCCGTTACTAAGATGCTAAATGACATGTTGAGCTAAATGAGACAATTATGTTCGATCAGTGAGAAGCGGTGTCATGAGATATTATACAACCATCATTTAATATCTCCACGAGTGCCAGTGAAGCAGTAGACTAGCGAATCCAATTGATTTTGTACTTGACCTACAGCGAGTCTCAGCTTTTACCGTCAGCGTGTTGAAATAGGGAAATAAGAGAAACCTGCGGAAATAAATGATGACAGAATGTAGTTTATCGCTAATAATCTGTTCAATTTTACATGGATATTCCAAAGTTAAAACTACCAGTCCAATGAAAACAGTTGTACATGAATGATGCACATTTCATTTCCAAATGTAGTGAATAGTTCTAAGCGAATAAGTCTCATTCGATGTTCCGACAGTTCTTGCAAAACCAAAAAGTTAGACCTATTCAACTCACCAATCAAGTAACCGATATCCTCAAAGAATCGCTTTATATCGTGGACAGAGTAGTTGGCATTTGGAGTAATGATTATCGGTTCTTCCTGCGACCACAGCCGCTGATCAGGTAGAAACATTCCGTAGGAAGTAAAGGACCGTAGCAACCCTCGCAAAAGCAAAGCGGGATAGAATGGAATGCCGAGATTATCTCCTGCGTTTCGGAATACAAGAAACCAAAGTTTATACAAAATACTACCAGGTGAACGAATGCAGATTGAAGATAGTGTTGCTAAGAAGCAGATAAAATAGGAGTGTGAGACTTCACCATCTTATTGGTTCACAAGCAGATAAATGAGGATTACGCAACTTCATAATGTCACGACAATTATTTTATCGAACGATTATCTTATAGTGCGCGTAAACAGCGACAGTTAGTTACACTGACCACTCGCAATGACTGCCATAGCTTTGGAGCCTCCTCCAAAAGGACCACTGACGGACACGAACGCTTCCACGTAGGTCTTTTTCCACGACTGAGAATGTAAGTTCAGAAAATATAAAGTATACATAGTTCCCATGCTGTGAGCAACGATAACAACCCTTCTTCTCCCGTTTCGGACATACGTCTCCTCAATTAACTCCTTAAATTGACTCATGAATTTCTCATTTTCATCTGCAAATGCAAGTAACCGGGATTTACACGATTGGTGTCTTACGTGGGGCTCTGCGAAAATCGTACGGTGCTCCTCGAAGGCTGATGTTCCGCTGATAAAACGGTGTTTTAAGCAGCTCCTCCACAAGTGCATCGTAATTACGGCCAAACACCTTCTGTGATTCATCAAGGAATTCAATATTCGTAGTGTCTCCCCAGCCGGGAAAAACAACTTCATACTCTTCGCTATCGTATGATCGATGGGTTGTGTTCAGATACGTTAATCTAGATATAGGAGAGGGGCATCGTGTGGTTGGGTGAACCACACACATACGCAAACTCCTGTGTGAACTTTCTGGTATTAAGTAAACTGCTGATATTGAGCCATATTTGTATAAATGATGCATCCACTTCACCTCTTGGTCTGACGTATGCCCTAGACCCGGCTAAACCAGGGACTAGGATAACTGGATGGTGCTGGTCTCTCCGTCCTTCGTGTACTGGATCGAGTGCGACCAAGTTGATGAGTAAATTTAAGATGGTGTAGCCAACACCAAATGGCATTCTAGAGGCCGCGGAACAGTGGCACATGTCGTGGATCGCCGGCATTATTGTCGTCGTACGCAAACACAGTTACAACACAAGTGCGGATTAGTCGCCTATGTATCACCTTATACAGAGAAGGTAGAATGTAATCTTTGTTCAGGACACATCGTTCGATTGAGTCGTTTTCGTCAATGTGATTAGCAGGCGCTTGTATTCCGTATGTACAAACATATCTACGTCAAGCCAATGACGTGAAGTGCTACTCAAGCTGTTGAGGCGTCCTGAACGCTTTGCATCCGCACTTGAACTCTGTAGCAAAGGAGGGTTAAGGTCAAATGGAAATTTGCACAAACATTATGCATTTCGTCAATGAGCATGCTCGGGTCAACTACCATCACAGCTCAAGAAACAAGTGAGATCCTTAAAGATTTTTGAAAATGGTTACAGGTCCAGCTAAGAAATATTACCATGTACTATTTGTATACCAACAACAGTTTAATGGCCACTTCGAATCATTTCCATTCAAGGACCATGTTCGCTTCCATCAGTTACATTGCATATCTCAATTAGCATGATTGTTTTGTGATAGTGTTGGTTTTCCGATTATTCTTCGTTTAAATGTGTTGCAGTTAATCGGACACATCTTTAACTGTTATTAGAAAAGCTAAATCATGTTAAAGTAGCTACCAGTTTAAATACTCATATATGATGCAATAAAATACTGACGACGAAAATTTGGCATTTTTATCAAATACTCTAAGTTCCGTATGGCATATTGGTGTATAGGTCAAGCAGTTCCAGGTTTAAGATCAGTAACCGTCACTGGAAGCAGAATATATCAATTTAACTGGAATATTGCACGATCAAAATTGCGTTGCTACCGTATTGCATGTGTGATTCAAAAGGGTATAATTCTGACAGATTTGTAAGCAATATTGTGTAAGCTGAACAACGATGTACAGTAAAAATTTTCACTCTTTATTAATTGTTAAATATACAATCCTTACTAGGAACAAGTTGCAATAATAAGCCAGGTAACACGGACAATTGGAAATTTTCATAAATCTCACCAACTGCCCGAGAAAAATCAATTTCCAATACACATGGTTCGGACAGCGGACTACTCGTTCCGGTGATTATTTGGATAGATTTCTGTGCGCATTCAGAGAGTAAAATATTATACGAATAGAGGCAAATGGTCAACTGTATTTCCTGTGTTCGTTGGTTTCTAGTTTTCCCCATAGCTCTACCATAATAGTATAGGCAGAAATTCGTCACACCTGGACTCAGTCAGACAGCCGTCACACGCTCGGAAAGGCACTGTACGCGCGTTTCATCCTTTCGGGAATCGTCAGCAGTGCGCATGCCATCGGACCCTGGGAGGGTTCGAACCCGCAACTTGAATGTTGGCAGTCCGTGGTTGAGACCACTGAGCTACGGGGGACGGCAACGATTGTCATAAATAAGTTGCTAAATGTGATATGGCGCCGCTCACTATCCACTGAATTACACGTTACTGCCCTGCAGGGGACAAGGTAGCCTCCACACCAGGCGACGAGCTTACCAATCTTAAGCCGCCAATCAGTGGTCTCAGCCACGGACTGGCAACAGTCGAGTTGCGGATTGGAGCCCTACCAGCTATCGATGGAATGCGCACTGCTGACGATATTCGAAAGGATGCAACGCGCGTACAGTGCTTTCCCGGGCGTGTGACGGCTGTCTGACTGAGTCTAGATGTGATGAGTTTCGATCTACACCATTCAAATCCCCTACAATTCTTCTGTAGTCTACGGTAATAATTGGACAAAACCAAAATCGCTAATGTATATTGGGTCAAATGATTGAGCTGCGGAAAAGAGACACCGCAGAGTGGGTTACGTATTACTCGCTGAGTAAACAACGGACTGTTCAATAAATGAAAGCAAAGAAGAAGATAAGGAATGACAATGATATCACAAATGTCTGCGATAAATAAAAAGCGGACACAGGCTAATTGGCTAACCTGCCACATTTTCATGTACGCCATTATCATATGAAATGTATCTATTTTTGTTCCTATGAACATTTTTTCGTCATGACTCAAATGCATTCTCTTAGACTGAAACTAAGAGCTCTTCGATGATGTATCTGTTTAATAAGAATTTCAACTTAGCGTACCTTTGCAGGTCCAGCGGTATCGCACCAGACATAGTTTGTCTTATTACTTATAGCTCGGTCTTCCGATGAATAGTTAGCCAGTGCTTTTGACCAACAGAGTAACTAAATTGATAGAAGTTCTCTCCTTTAATGTTAAGAAATTCAGCCAAGGTGATCAATCCCACTGACTGGATTAAACTGCGGAAGCTGATGAACAAGTGACGGAACTATCATATGCGTATGAGTATGTACTTATAAAAATAAATACCAATTTGTCACAGGTTTAGCTTAAGAATTTAACATTCAGCTTTACATAGTAATACCCGGGAACGTATACTATCCTTTAAACTTTTTATACTCAACGATTTTACACAGCATTCTTGGAAAAATTAACAGGCACATAAAGGTGCGCAAATGTAAGGCATAAAAATAAACGCCTATCGCCACCCACTAAGCAATGACACGGAAACTATCTAAAACACATTAGTTGTAGGCTAAAATTATTCTAAGTATGTTAAATGTAAGAAAACCTAACAACAGAATTAAACTAACAGCATTGAACGCTTTATATTACCCAACGTCCGATTTATAAAACATACATAACTCACCGTACTGTAGTTAAACGGATTGAAGTTGTCAAGGTCGGAAATGTAAACGATGCGCATATCACATAGAATACCTGTAATAAATGAAAGTCAGTAATAAAGTGAGACTTCCGCGCTTTCTTAGCAAGGCTGTTTGTGAATCAACGCGTTCTAGTCACCCGAAACCTCTCGGTAGAAGCTTGATGCACTTAAACGTAATTCAATTTGATTGCTGTGTTAGTTGCTTAATGTGAACAGTTTGCACAATCCACCGGTTTGATCTTGTATGTATCACACACAGTTAATCACCTGCGCATAGTGTAGTGTTGACGAAAAATTACTGTTCAACTTTAGGCTTACGTGCTGGATTATTGTATACCGCTTTAGAATCCATCACAATCCGATACGGGATAATTTGCCAGTTCAAGCCAAAAGTCATCGGGGGTTTCAACTGCAGTTGTAGCATCCACAACCTCTCCACACATTAGCCGCCTGTTCTTGAAGCTGTAAACAATTAGTAAGATTTCTAACCCTTGGGATATACCTGTGAATACATTGCTAGAAAAGAATGCCACAGCAGTAATCTCATACCCATCATAGCACATCTGTAGGACTAGTCCGAGACGGTGCGCGCAAGTAAGCGCGGGTTACAGATGGCAATTGGAATCGGACACCACGGACTGTATTAGATTGGCTATAAAAAGGACGCGGACGGATGAAGCAAGACACGAGGTACACGTTAGCGCAGGAACTTACAAGGCGGTCGAGTGTCGAGCCGGTTGTAAGGAACATTAAAATAAGAAAGAATACTATACCATTGATCACCAACGAAATAGCACATAAAAGGTAGCGGTTTTCTTTTTGGGCGCTGCAGAGCTCTTCCCCTAGAAGGCTGAACATAGAAAGCCTTCGATATCGAAAATGACAGGTAACTCGAGGTTCTTTGGGTTATATCGTGCCGAGTACGAATGAGCGAGCGTTCGTGTCAAATAGGGGTTCGCCGGAAGTCGGAGTCCGCTGTTTCGTTTGTGGTTTATTATTTATTGATTGCAGGGCATAGTGCATTTCGGTGAGCCGTTGAAGCGGGCTTGTCGGATTACCAAAATCTGGCTAGCCCAAAGAAAGACCGACAGGACCTCGACCTTCGCTGCTGCCAAGCGGTGCGCTTGGGAGTGGTCTCTCCCCTCGCCGCTCCCCACCCCGCGCCAAAATGACCCCCGTCCCACGAAGAAACAACCGTCGTCCCACGAAGAAACAACCATCCTAACACGAAGGAACAACCGTAGTCCCACCAACAAGGGACACCCGTCTCGCGCGGAAGCCACATCCGTCCCGCAGAGAAACGACCAGCGTTGGCGTTACTGTCCCCGAAAATAGTGCTCGTGTGGGCCAGTCGATCGAAGGGGATGGTTGGGGCATGTAGAGACGAGAGAATACAAAACATGCGCAGAAAAAGCCAGAAAGAACGACCGATTGATCTGCGTGTTCAGCTTTTTTGTTTTTGGATTATTTTAGAAAAAGGCTTTTTTGTTTCTGAATAGTTTGTTTGTTTTCCAAACATTACTCGACCAAAAGCGGGACAAGTATATACAATATCTACAAAACTAAACTTATTTACACTGTACATAGTCGGAAAAACGAACCGGCTTACACACATCCCGACCACGGTGAATGGTCGTGGAAAGCGGCGGGCTAGATTCGGGAGATATCGGGACGGCTGATGCTTGTAGACCGGGATCATGGTCTGATTGAACTACACCAGGATGCTGAAAACTGGTGCGGTGAGTTGTGACATCACACGAAGCACTACTAGACGAAGTAAGCGAGGTGGTTTCTTCCATAAAGAAGGTTTTTAGACGGTCGTTGGTGACGACTTCGCGTCGACAACCGCGGTCAATAGTGTACTTCTTACTCGCACAGTGTAGCACTTTGGATGCTGTTATGTACGGTGACTGAAGAGGCTGTCGGACACCATCTGCGCATGGAATGACGTGTGAACACGTAGACAGCTTCTTAGGCACGTACACTGGGGTCTCCTGCGATCGCGGAGCGGGTAGACGTAACTCACTCTTCTGGTGAGCTAATCGATCGGTGTAACTTCCGTAGGCAATAGTGGAAGTAGAGGGGGCTAGTTCTACCAGCTGTCTGGGCAACCGCAGCGTGCAACCGTAGACTAGCTGCGCTGGTGTAGCGTCGAAATCGGTTTTAAACGTGTTTCTTAAGCCTAGGAGGACGAGGGGAAGTGTTTCAGCCCATGAAGGACCTGCGTGCGCCTGTAGCGCTGCCTTCAACTGGAGGTGAAATCTCTCCACCATGCTGTTAGCGGCCTGTCGTCTGAACTTGGCGACAGCCTAAATCCTTAAGCAA